TGGGGGGGGGGGGTGTTCGTCTGCTTAGCTTTAGTTTGAATGTTCTGTTGATAACGTCTCTCAACAAATCGTGGAGCTCATGTAGAATGTAGCTCATGTACTGACATTGTTCCTGCAGACCAGACATGGCCGAACTAAGACCCACGGGGCCAAATCGGACCCGAAAACGATTTCAGTCCGGTCTGCGAGTCGAACACAGTTATTAATAATGAATTTAGCCCTCGGCAAGTTGAGAATTATTTAAAGTAATTAATTGTAATTAAACAAAATGTCCGTATTGAAAGTTAAAGTTAGAAGTTTCCTACCCAGCTGGAAGCAATCGCTCTGACATTTTTATCTCATAGAATGACTTTGAGTGATACACTTTTGACAGCTTGGATACTTTAACCGATTTCACTCAAAGCAAAACAGGAAGATGACGAAAGTTAAAGCCCTTTTGTGAATATCTCGCATCCGCCTGGTCGCTCTTCAAAGTATAACGTAACGAAAACGATACCAGGTGTCCTTTTGTGGCGCTAGGCTTCTTGGCTCATACAGACATTAATTTATTGTCGCTCCCATCGACAGCAACCAGCATTTTTTTAAAGTACCCAAATAGAACACACATAGCGTTTAATGTCTTTTTGTTACAGTTTAGTCTCAGACCAGTGCAGTCATTAAATCTAGATATCGCCTATTACGGCTTTCCTCCGCATGAAAATAACCTGCTAGTGGAAATGGGACGCAGAACCCAAAAGGTTTCACCTCTTCCAGGACGTGCCGCAGGTCGTGCGCGTTGGAACAGTATGTTTTGTCGCTGACAAAATATTTACCGTAAAACCTTCAAACGGCAGGTTAAATACACTAACGAAAGCCTCAATAAAAACGGAATCATATCTTGCCAGGGCATAACGATACAACACTGTTCGTTCTGTCTGCTTCGGTAGCGGACACGTTTGAAGGTAAAAGGACATTTTTGCCCTTCATTTTGAACTGGTATGTTCCTCTAATATATGTAGATCAGGAGATCAGTCTTTTATGATATCACAACTTAGGTTAAAGGTTAAAAACTCGCTGGGAGCCCCTTTCCTCATCCTGCTCCATTTATCTGAAAACTTTCTCCAACAACATTTGAGGGATGCATTGTCGGAAGTAATGGTCAATCTAATTCACAATACTCTGTTGTTCACAATATAATGCTCACGTCGTCATGGTGTTGTGACAGTACATGTATGAGTGTCTGCTTATGTGTTATCGTCAATCCAATGAGTGTATATATATATATATATATATATATTTTATATATTTACATGTATATAATATGTTTATGTTCATATTATATTATTTGTGTTGTGTTAAGGTGAAGTACCAGGTATTGTAAAGCGCTTTCAACCGTATAATACGGGATATAAATGATCTGCATTTGTTAATGACTTAACCTTACCGAGTACGCATATCCGGGACCTCCTCTCAGTGCCGGATTAACCATTAGGCAAATAAGGCAATTGCCTTATGGCCACTCAAAAAATAGGCCACAAATATGCCAGAGACGGTACAACAAGGTCACATT